CAGAACAAGAAATAAAGATAAAGAGTCACCTTAAAGGCTATTGTTTCAGTTTTCCTATTAATGTTGTCATTGAGGGATCATCCTTAGAAAAAGGTATTTGATTAAAAAAAATTAAGTGTAAACATTTTAAGAATGATTCATCATCATCCTCTGTAACATTTACATTTTATACTCTGGATCATAATTTACATATTTCAAATATGGTTACATTTATGGATATAAAGAATGCAGGTGTCTTGTTTCAGTTACTTCACAAGACATTTATTAAAGTCCTACTTTTTTAAGTCCTGGGGAAGATAGAACATTTAATTAAATCCCAGAACCTGACCTCATGGAGCTTACAATTTGTAGGGGTTGCTGGGGGGCTTGATATGTTACATAAATAGGAAACTGCAATATAGAATTATGTGACATTTGATATGTATAAAACCACAATGTTACAAAGGACATAAAGGGTCTAATTTTGCCACCTGGGAGTTCAGTGAAGACTACATGAAGGCTTGAGAATTTGAGCTGGTTTTCATAGCATAGAAACAAATTCATCAAGAGAAGAGTGGACCTTATAGCCATAGGGAACAATGATTAGTCACTGAATGGAATATCCAATTTTTTATCGGTTTTATATCACTTGAATTCCTAAGATTTTTTTCTAATTCTTCTTTCCTTTCTATTACAGATAGCTTTTTTTTTTTTAGCATTTCCTGCATCCCTTATAAGTAGGCTTTATTTCCTAAGGAAGTAGTTTGCCCTTGAGTGATCTCAAGGTATACTGCCTTGCAAGAATCTCCTACAAGCAGTGACAAATGAGTTACATTAGTCTTGAAGAAGTAAAAGGTCATGCTGGACAAAAGACATGTTGGAAAAACTTACTTTTAATCAAGTACTATTTCATTACCTTGTTATATCCTTCCAATATTTCTCTTCCCTAATTACTCTTTAGGAGAAAATCCTCTCTAAGAAAACAAAATTATATTATTATGATAGTGTTAGTCAACATTAATTATGTTGTTCTTTGGGATCAGAGATAGAATTACTGAGCCAGCATCAGTACAATAGTATTGTAGGCATAATTTCCAATTGTGGTCGTTGGTTTGGAGTTAGCTACTTGTCTTTCTTTTTGTAACATCTGTTACTAACTGCATGCATCCCATGTAAATAAATCAGAGGTACCTTTTAACTGAGATAATGAGTGGAGTGGATAGATTGTTGACCCCAAAATCAGGAAGACTTGAGTTCAAACTTGGTTTCAAACATCTACTTCTAAGACTCTAGGTAAGTGGCTTAACCTCTGCTGTCTCATTTTCCTAAGCTATAAAACAGAAGAAAATAACTCACCAATGACTCCCCCACTCAATGTAGTACCCTTCTTTGTAACAGGTGAGTAAAGTCAAGCAAAATGAATCAATACCTTGGTCATTTCTGAAAATGTATGAGAATTCCACAACTCTAGTCTATAACCTCTTTACCAAGAGGCATAAGGTAGGTGATATGAGTCCTAGATAAATAGTTTAGATAAAATATGGTGCCCATCTTTGTGGAACTGACACTTTAAGAATAATATCAATACCAATGATTATAGTATGACATTATATAGATACATAAATGTATTGTAATATTACTATACATAAAGTAAGAAATGAATGAATAAAATGTTTATTAAGAATTTACTTAATAAAAAGCTATTTTATGAGGGTAAAATGTGATAATTACAAAATGCTTAGCATAATGCCAAGCACAGGGGTGGGGAACCTGCAGCCTCAAGGCCATATGTGGCCATCTAGGTCCTCAAGTGTGGCCCTTTGACTAAATACAAACATCACAGAATAAATCACCTTTATAAAAGGATTTGTTCTATAAAACTTGGACTCAGTCAAAAGGTTGCACCCAAGGACCTAGAAAGCCACATGGGGCTTTGAGGCCACATGCCCTAGCACATAGTAGGGAGTTAATAAATAAATAATAGTTCTCTTGTTCCCCTCTTTTTATTCCAGAATTGTCTCTGTCTAACTAGCTGATCTGGTGGTGAAAGTGGGGTAAGGGCAAGGGTCACACTCTTAGCTTTGGCCTCATTAATATTACACTATAACCACTTGAGTTAACTTGCATGCACCCAGTAAATGTTCAATAAATATTTGCTGAATTGAACTGAATAACATTTGCTGAGCATACATGGTGTGCAGAATCCTCTTCTAGGTCATCTGAGGAGACATCAAAGAAGTCTGTGTTCCAATTTAAGCAATAGAGGAGCACAAATTTAATGACTGAGTCCTGTATTTCAAGTTGTCTCATTAAATATGGTTAGTGTAGTAGGAGATCTCAGAAAAGTGAAAAGGACACATCAATGACCGTGTTCCAAATCCATAACATTGAATGTATCTTTGGATCAGGGGTTCTTAATCTAGCTTATGCCATGGACCCCTTTGGCAGCCTCATGAAACCTCTTCTCAGAAATTGTTTTTTTTTAAGTTAAAAGGAGATATTTTCCAAATAGCGCAAAGAGACTTGGATTTTGAGATAAAGAACTTCAGTTTAAATTGCAGTTTGGCTACTATGTGTATAGTCCCAGGCAAGTCACTTCCCCTGGAATTTAGATTATTGCTCTGTAAAATGAAGGCCTTTGTATGGATAGGCAGTTTTCAGATGAAGAAATTAAATCTATCTATAGTCATATGAAAAAATGCTGTAAATCACTATTGATTGGAGAAATGCAAATTAAAACAACTCTGAGGTACCACATCACACCCATCAGATTGGCTAACATGACAAAACATGAAAATGACGAATATTGGAGAAGATGTGAGAAAATTGGACTAATGCATTATTGGTGGAGTTGTGAAATGATCCAACCATTCTGGAGAGCAATTTGGAACTATGCCCAAAGGGCTATAAAAATGTGCATAACCCTTTGAACCAGCAACAGAACTTCTAGGGCTATATCCCGAAGAGATCATAAAAATGGGAAAAGGACCCACATGTACAAAAATATTTATAGCAGCTCTTTCTGTGGTGGCAAAGATTTGGAAATCAAGGGGAGGTCCATCAGTTGGGGAATGGTTGGACAAATTGTGGTATATGAATGTAATGGAATACTATTGTGTATAAGACACGATAAGCAAAAAAAAAAAAGAAAAGGAAAGAAAAGAAAAAAAATGATGAGAAAGTGGACTTCAGAAAAACCTGGAAAGACTTGTATCAACTGATGCTGAGTGGAATGAGCAGAACCAGGAGAACATTGTACACAGTAACAGTCACATTGTGCGATGACGAACTTTGACAGACTTAGCCCTTCTCAGCAATATAAGGATCTAAGATATCTCCAAAAGTCTCATGATGGAAAATGCTAT